GATCGAATTCACGATAGCTCAAGTTGTAGAGCAGCAGCGTATTTAGCCGAAGGTCGTGGGTTCGAATCCCGCTCGTGGCACTGACTTTTTCATTTCGACCAAAACCTTACATAAAAAGATTAATTAATTGAAAGAAGTAATTTGGTCAATACAATGGGTTTAATTAGGTATAATATCAGTTTTACCCTTTCATATACTGAAAAATCCTAAAGTTTTGTGAATCAAAAATATCATCGTCAGACAAATAATTTTTATAACAATTGTGAGATAACAGTTTATTACGCGGAAAGAGATTAATTGTGTGCTTAGAAAAGCAGCTCATCCACTTGGAAACTTCAAGAACCCATTAAACGCTAAGGCGATCTCCTTTCCGCATAATCTCACTGACTGTCAGGTTTACCTCGACCATTTCATTAATATGCAGCAATAACTCGCACGAAAACAATAATTTACCATGCCTTCTAAACGTTCAAACAACTACAACGATCAATTAATTTCATTAATCATCAGTGCGTGCAAATCACAAAAACACTTTTAGTAGAAAGGATCTTCGGAAACTACTAATAGAATCCGTCAGTATTACGTTACTTTCATCTGACTAAGTCTCAAACCGGGATTTGAGATAGAGTAGGACTTTCCAACGTTCAATTTTTAAAACGTTAGGGAAAAAACTGCTTTATCTTATCCCGAAAGCAGAGGAAGGATCCTCTTCTCTTTCCTAAAGTAAAAGAGATCTATAAGTTACGTAAGTCATTGGCGTACCTATCACCTTTTGACCCTTAAATAGAGAGGTAACAGGTTTCTTACGTCTTAATAGACCATAAAACTATTCTTCTATTCGTTAATGATCGTTGAGCACTAATCAAAACAACCTTCCCACGATAGTATTTATGACTTTTTATGTGCATCAGATCCTTTTTTTAATAATTTTTTTGTTGGGTTATATAAAAGATTATTGTGTTCGTTCATATCCTTACTAAAAATAGAAAAAAAGTACAACACTTTAATGTAGAAAGGTCTTTATCGTAATAAATCCCGTATAGTTGTGGAAGATTAAAGTCGATGTTGAACTAAAGAATTCGGAACGGACGCTAATCCGGTTTTGTGTGCACGTACGGCAGAGATTATCTATCACTTGATTATCTATACTTGAGATTATCTATACTCGTCCTTCCTACCTATCGTACATATCTAATTCCTTTCTATTTCACCACCGTACCTCGTCACTTTTTCTCCTCTGGGGCAATGCTATCAGGAGTTGTGTTATGTCGATTTTGTTTAATGTTCGCTTTTCATCTCTCCCTCTCTCACACTCTTTTTCTTTCTTGCACTCTCTTCCCATTTTTTCCATCTCACTTACTCTATCTTTCTTTCTCTCACTGTCTTTCTCTCCCTCAATCACTCACTCTCCGTCTCATTCTACTTTCTTTCTTTCTTCCTTTCTTTATCTCTTCCTCTTTTTCTTTCATTATTTCGTTCCCTCTTTTTCTCTTTCTATCCCTATCTTTTTCTCTTTTTCTTTCTTTATCTTTCTCTATGTCTGACTGTCTCTCTCTCATCCTCTCTCACTCTTTCTCATTTTTTCACTCTCTTTTCCTCTTTTGCCATCTCACTTACTCTATCTTTCTTTCTCTCACTATCTCGCTCTCACTTCCTCACTCACTCAGTCTCCGTCTCACTCTACTTTCTTTTTTCTTCCTTTCTTTACCTCTCTCTTTTTCTTTCTTTATTGCTTTCCCTCTTTTTCTCTTTATTTCGCTCTTTCTCTTCCTATCTTTTTCTTTCCTTATCTCTCTCTATGCCTGACTGTCTCTCTCGCTCTCTCACTCTCCCTCTCTCTCTCTCTCTCTCTCTCTCTCTCCGTCTCAATCTACACTCTCTTTGTCTTCCTTTCTTTATCTTTCTCTATGTCTGACTGTCTCTCTCTCATTCTCTCTCACTCTTTCTCATTCTTTCACTTTCTTTTCCTCTTTTTCCATCTCACTTACTCTATCTTTCTTTCTCTCACTATCTCTCTCTCACTTCCTCACTCACTCAGTCTCCGTCTAACTCTACTTTCTTTTTTCTTCCTTTCTTTACCTCTCTCTTTTTCTTTCTTTATTTATTTCCCTCTTTATTTCTTTATTTTTCTCTATTTCTCTTTTTATCCCTATCTTTTTCTTTCTTTATTCTTTATCTCTCTCAATGTCTGACTGTCTCACTCTCTCTCTCTCTCTCTCTCTTTCTCTCTTTCTCTCTCTATCAAATAGTGCGAAACCAAAGTCATATAATTTGTCTTGTTTATTATTGGTAATTACGAAATGAAATCACTTTAATGCTAAAACCTTTCACCATAGGTGACGATACTACGATAAAGTTAATTGAACATTAATGTTATGTTAAAGGTCATCTTGATAATGATCGTGCCTTGGAACCATTAAAATTACGACCTACAAGATCGGTGAGACAAGAGGACGCAGGACATTTCTTGGCAGGAAAGTAATTGATGTTCCAGAGGATTAATCAAAATTCATCTCCTTACAAATTTTGATACGAGGGAGGGCCAGGAACATAATAAAAAGCATCTTTCTTTAGAGGTGAGATAATATATAATATTAGTTTTTACTTGCCAATAGGTATAATTATTATATCGAAAAATCTTTTTTAAGGGTTGAGGTCATCACACAGAAATATTTGCGTACTTGCACAGCAATAAAAATAAGATACAAACAGGGCATTACAAGCCAATGGCTTTCTGAAGAAAATTGTATAAAATTGTTGTACACAACATGTTAGCAGGGCATAGTTTTAGTACCTACTAAGAGCAACAAATATCTGAAAAATAAGTTAAGAATAGGTGAAAATTTAAATAAAATAATTTTCATAAATCATTGGATCAGCGCACATGGTCTTGGGAAAATTTAACGCTCCCTCCTACAAACCAAAACCACATAATCGTAATAATTTTTCTTTTAACGATAATACGTACACTAAACTGACTATAAAAAAACTGACCACCCGGTTTTTGCACGAAAAATTGAACAACTTTGGAAATGCATATTTTCTCAGCCGTTTAAGACACCTGCGCTAGGTATTTTTTAGAAAATTTTACGCTGAACAAGATGGCTTTTTTTTAGATGTTTTCCTACCTTCAGTAAATTCAAAAATTCTGAAACATGTCAATTTTTGCACTTTTTACAAAAACTTCAAAATGAGATGTGGAGCCAGAAAATCGTCCTGGAGCGACGACCATTAGTAATTTAGGATATTTTAGGGAATTTTAATAAACTTCCGCTTTACCCGATTTCTCAACGAAATTTTCGAGATATTCACGATTTTTTTACGTGCTCATGGATTAAACCGATCATTGTCTCTCCCGAATTTTATGATACATAAACCTATTGTTTCAAAACGTTATTCGAAGCCAAACTGCCACACAACACCTGTGAAATGGTAAAAAGTTGAATTTCCTTGATGAGATAAACAAGTGATTATCGACAGCAAAAGCATTCCGCATCCCAAAAGGTCAAACTAAGAATTGTCGCTTCCCTTATCACTTTTTTTTTAAAAAGTTCTCCGAACAAAAGTTATTGAGGTAAAATTGACAAAAAAAACATGGCGGTTCAAAATTTATGCATCCTTGAAAATCGGGAGAGAGTGCGATCGGATTTTTTTCATGAGCACGTAAAAAACCGCGTTTTTTGTCCCAAAATCGGCAAAGTGAAAGGTGACAAATTGAAAGCTTATTAAAATTTCCTATCAGTTGCTAAAGGGCGTCGCTCCAGGACGATTTCCTGGCTCCACAGTTCAATTTGAAGTAAAAAGTACAAAAACTGACACGTTCCAGAATTTTTGAAGTTACTGTTGAATGATGAAGCTAGTGAAATATTTTTATATCTAAAATTTTCTAGCATTGTATAAATTCATTTTTTTAATCTAAAATTTTCTAGCATTGTATAAATTCATTTTTTTAATCTAAAGTTTTCTAGCATTGTATAAATTCATTTTTTTAATCTAAAATTTCTATCATTGTATAAATTCATAATATTTTTCACATCCTACATGTATTTGTAAAATTCAAACAATATTTATAAATCCCAGACCCTGAAGATGATCTCAATAAAATCGAAACGTAGGCACGATAAGAAAATGATGTAATATATGTACAGTTATAGATAAAAAAAATAAAGCAAAAAAATAATAATAAATGATTATTTGGAGATCGTGCGATGCAATCTGATGTGACATATTTTAGAAAAACATTTTCTTTATCGTGCCAACGTTTCGATCTTTATTGAGATCATATTCAGCGCTGACACAAACAGCAAACACTTTGAGCTCTGAAGATGATCTCAATAAAGATCGAAACGTTGACACGATAAAGAAAATGTTTTTCTAAAACCTACGTCACACCAGACCGCATCTCACGATCTCCGAATAATCATTGACTACGGTCACTAAACACCACACATTTTTAGTGAAATATTTTAAAAAAAAAGCCATCTTGTTCAGTGTAAAATTTTCTAAATAATGGGACCTAGCGCAAGTCTGACTTTAAATATGCATTTCCAAAGTTGGCCATTTTTTCGTGCAAAAACCAGATTAAAATGTTTTTAGTGTCATAAGAATGATATGATGAATGAATATAATCAGCAATTATAAATTCGGTGAATGCACTTTTTTGCGATGAACCGAGCTAGTCACGAGCTAGGAGACTGACTAGCTCCGGGGCGAAAATTGAACCAGGATCCGTGTATTTAAGTCAAATCGATGGATAATTTCATGACGGGTTTGGTATAATTTAGATATCATATTGTTGCCATAATGCCTCTAAAAGGATGTTTGGTTTAAATTGTGTTTTAAATGGTGAAAGTAGGGATAAAAGGTCAAATTTTGAGTACAGATATAGTTTTTTATATACTTTTCCGCTTGTAGGATCATCTGATAAAACAAAACAGAAAACATGTTGATTTATTTCGGTTTTAAAATTTACAAAGGCTGTATAATATAGTTAAATCCAATTAATTTATTTTCGATAAGAGCAGCGCAAGGGGTAAAATAAGGAGCAGTACGTTGAAATGGAAGTGTTTCGTGATTGCTGAGGACACAAAGGGCGCATAAAAATCCATGAAAGAGTGAAGCAAGGAGAATAACATAGGTGATTCAGTTTTGTTGCACGAAGGCGCCCATTTCAACATACCCCATACAAAACCGCCACATATGAGTGGCGAGGCCGTGTTCATTCCGCAGACGGGTCCCATATTTTGAACAGGCGTGAAGCATACATCCCGAGCAATGTTTAAAACATGAGGCGCGCATAGATTTCTCTGTAGGCATAAGCTTCTGTAACACCTGTACGGGGTTAAACTGGTCATGTCGATCTCTTCAAACATGCCGATCGTCACGTTTCCATAAACTGGCCGGACGAGTGTCGAACACTTCAACCCCTGTGTGACCAAATCGGCGAATTCTTCTTCAACTTCGTCCCTCATGTTTGAAAAAATGCGAATCGGCTGTGCATACTGTGTATTAGAGAAGATTTTGACCAGCCGCAAAACCGCACAATCGTTCTCCCATCCTATATCGATGTGTGACGTTTTGCATTTGGGATGGACGGTGATGTTCAGCACGTCTCGGGTCTGGTACGAACGTTTTCCTCTCAGGGTCGTCAAACCTGCTATCACGGTATAGTTTTCTTTTTTCAAAATCGCTGAACCGCTTTTGTTTGGGCTGCAGAAACAGTGGCAGGCGGAGAGTACGTGTGTGAGCGAAAGGAGTACGCCGATGCACACATGTGTCCTTCCCGACCTTGTCTCTACACTGACGACAAAAGGATAATCGCCGTAGGACGGAATCCTTCCCTTATTATTATTTATTGTCACATTCGCTTTTTCAGTCGAACTTTCCTCTTCCCTACGTCTTTCTCTATCCTTTCGTTTTGATGCTTGCTTACAGTCTACACCTTGCGAAAAAACTAAACCGAGAAGAAGATAAAATACCAATGTACTAATTGAAGATTGCATTACATTAAAAATCGAAAAATAAATTTAAATAAGACTGCCTGACATTCTCTAACTTTAAATGTGTTGAACTCAGCTTATTTTTTTTAAATAGTCATCTGTTCGACCCATCATCTGGTTGCCAAATAAAAAAATGAAAAATTAACAACAGTTATGAAAGATTTATTAAGATTTTTCAATATATTTTATTTATCAGAAATGGTCAAATACGACTAACTATTAATTTCAAACTAGCTAAGAAATGTAATAATAATAATGTCGTAATCGGAAAAATGGCAAAAAGGAGGGAAAATTCAAAAGGTGGGGTTGAGATGGGAAGTTAGTGTTCGAGGGGATCGAGGTCACGATAGCTCAAGTGGTAGAGCAGCGGCGTATCTAGCCGAAGATCGTGGGTTCGAATCCCGCTCGTGCCATTGACTTTTTTATCTCAACTAAAAACCTTAATTAATTGTAATATATTAATTGGTCAAGCGGACCACGAAATTAGTGAAAATAATAATAATAAATCCAGGGAGCGTCAGTGGCCGCAACGGTTTAGGCGTTGACACGGCGCTCATCACTGTAAGGTAAAAAAAGTCCCGGGTTCAAATCCAGTGGCCCTGCATTCGAACCCGACATGCATACAAATATTCTTTTTTTTCGAAAACACCGGCACCTGAGGGTTTATATGACCTCTGCTGTTGCGAACCCTCGTTAAAAAAAAAAATACACCTAAATCCATTATTGTGTCATAGTGTGCCTAGCTGAGTTAACCTCTTAACTTTAAACAAAATCAAGCGACTGTCTTCTTCAGAAGTTTGTGGGGTTCAACTAAACATTCCAATTACCATCGTATTTCCCAATCCGAAATCCTTCGAAAAAAATGTAAACGCTCCCTTCTACTTATCCAATCCTTAACATCCCTTAACACTGCTAACCATAGAAACCTGTGCACACGAAATGAACAAAACCATCTCAAAGATGCTATCATTGAAATCATTCTGTTGGAAGTGAGACAAGGGGACGACTAGGTTGGTGTGACACAGATTTGGACCAAACTTATTTTGGTCAATCTACTTCGTAAAAATCGGACACTTATCCGCCACTTCTAGTGAATAGGCACTGGTTTCACCCAAAAAAAATTTTCTAAATATTTTTATTTCGCTGTTCTACTTGCTAAAAAACACTATGAGACAGCACAGCAGCTTTTTAAAGTAGATTGCAGTAAAGTTGATCAATAATCAAAAAATTTCAAAACACCAAATAGAATAGAAATCCTTTTATTTTTTCCTCAAAAAACAACATACAAATACAAGAACTTAAGAAGAAGTTCATTAACAGCACACCACCTGGAGTTGAAAGAATACGTCATAACTCAAATAATAAAGGTATCCAGTAGTGTGTATAACACATAAATCCTTCGAGTTTATGCGGTTCTAAAATTGAAACCATGTAGGTTTCCGATTAAGCATCTTAACCATGTAACTATGTTTTATTTAAAATTATGTGGAAAAAATTGTTCATAATATGTAACTTTGTTAATTTTACTATGTAGACTGAAAATATTTGATTTTTAGACTTTTTTGGCTATTCATAAACTTTGATTGCTTTTAATATATTTTTATTGCAATCTACATAAAATATGCTATAAAATGATATATTCAGATAGTTGTTGATTTGAAAGAAAAATATTTAACAATGGAAAACTTCAACTTTCAAAAAAAAATTTTGACGAAACCAGGTCCTATTCTCAAGAAGTGGCGGATGCGTGTTTAATATTTTGGAGTGTAAAATCACCAAAAAAAGTTTGCTCCAAATCCGTGTCAAACCAACCTGGTCGTCCTCTTAAGGGATGGGTCATTACTGGATGATTCTTCGCTTTTTTGTGCTAGATTGTTTATTTTATTTTTCTTAAATTACCAGATTTTGTTTTACTTTAGTTTTTCATTTGCTGTATTTAAATAAATACTGTTGTAAATGTAAAATAAATGTATGTAAATAAAAATTTTTAAAGACTACTTATTTCTAAAAAACGTTAAACTTTTTATATAAAGAAGGGCTTTGTTTGGTGGTAGTTAATTTACTTGCCAAAAGTACGATATTTGAGATAATCTGTAGTTGCTATTTGTTGTAGAAAATTATTATAACAAATATCACATGTAATTTAAAACAGTTGTATTAAAGATCAAACATCTCTTTACAAAAAATGCACTTTCAACATGAAAAAAAGTATTATATTATGGTTCTTTTGTAAAATATTTTCTTTGAGTATATATTTCGTTGCTGGAGAGACAAATTATACAGGGTCTAATTTTGTCGGCTCCGTTCCGAGAGATAACGAAACTTACGGAAACAGTTTGAAGAAAGCGGATAATACAGAAACTGCATCGGGACATGCAAGTGGAATAAACATTACGTCTCGAGGATACTTATCTCACCGGGAATTGGAGCCACTCGGAAGCTTCTTTGGTGGTAGATATCCGCTTTACGCCGAATATCCTTTTCTTGTAAACATAGTGATTAGAGAAAGCGGAACTTCTCATTGCGCTGGGACAATTATTTCAGAATATTTTATAATAACCTCTTGCCATTGTACATGTTACGACAATGGGCGTGGGGAAATCGTCGCCGAAAAGCCCGACAAGTTTTTGGTTTTTGCAGGAGCGCAGGCTGCATGGGGCATCGGGACGCAGTCCAACCTCTCCCAAGTCCGCCGAGTCTCGAAGGTCGTCAAGTACTTCTACTGCTCGAGGGACAAAGACACTCTTGCCTGGGATCACGACGTGTCAGTTCTAACTTTAACAAAACGTTTGATTTTCAACAAATTCGTCAAACCGGTCAATGTCAAGTCCAAGTCGTCCAAGGAGATAGAGAGGCTGTTCGAAAACGCCCTGGCTATAAGTAAAACGTGCACCGTTCTCGGTTGGGGTGCCAGCAAAGGGTACACGGGCGTACTTCAGGCGATTGATCTCTATCCGATTTCTTCGTTTTTATGCCAAAGCAGCATAAAGGACAAAAGTTATACGCACATTTTTGAAAGGTACAGGATTTGCTTTCGCCCCTTCGATATGCTCTCCACTGCGTTGTGCGTCGCCAACACCGGTGGTCCTCTAATCTGCGACAACAACTTCTGGGGAGTCCTCAACTGGGCTCCCAACTGCTCCAAAACGGCTATCCCTATAGTTTTCACCAAACTGGAAACATTTCTGGATCTTTACGCACCTCTATCATCAGCGACTTGCGATAAAATCGCAAGGTTTATTTTATTTCTGTTTCCACTTTTCCAAACTTTGGTCTTTTTGCATTATTAAACAATATTTGTAAATGATATGAAATAATTTAATTTAAATATATTTAAACATATGATAATTTACACCTTTTATTTACAGTTTGTGTTCAAATCAAATTTAATAAAAAATAATACAAAATATTTTTCTGTCTGTTTTTTAAAATTAATATAGAAGCGTTATATTATATTATGTTATTCTTCTCGTTAAGAAGGTAGAAAGGCGGCAATTTTCATACTCAAAGGAGCAAAGATCAAACAGAAGCTCCTTAGCTTTTTACATAACCATGGGGCATGAAGATTGATTTAAATTTGATAAATAGTTTTTAAAAAAATCAACTATCGACTTATTTAAAAGAAAATGTTTATTTAATACTGTAATCATAAGCATAATGTTTTATTAACATTTATTTAATAATAATTATTTATTTAATAATAACAGTTAAACATTTGTTTAAAGTAATAAAAAAAGAAATTTAAAAAAATAATCGGTGGCCGCAACGGTTTAGGCTCATCGCTGTAAAGTAAAAGTCCCGGGTTCGAATCCAGCGGCCCTGCATTCGAACCCGACATACTTACAAATGGGCTTTTTTTTCAAAAACACCGGCACCCTGAGAGTTTATATGACCTGTGCTGTTGCGAACCCTCATAAAAAAAAGAAGAAAATAAAAAAATAAGGTAATAATTAGTTTTAAAAACTTCTTTATATTGGTAATTATGTATATAGGGTTTTCATTTAAGGGCTATTTTTTGGCTGTTTATTCTTTCCAATACGTGGATTGAAGCTTTTCTTCCTTACAATTTCCGAATTGAGGACAGGAATTGATCCGGAACTCAATCCGGTTTGTCACAAGGCAGCGTATTAATGCCAGTCACACGATTTACCGGTAAAGCTACGACAATTATGTCGGTAGAAGGAGCAATTTTGACCGTTAAACTAGAATAACCCAAGCTCAAAATGGAGAATCAAAAATGAATTAAACTTCATCAACTAGGAAATGCAGAATATTCCAACGTATACGACTGTTTTTGACGGATCTAAGTGCGTTGGTATAACTTTAGATGCATGACTCCGACAAAGCACAAAGTACAGTTATGGTAAATCTCCCTGTGGCTGTAATAATAAAAACCGTTTTTATCTCACCAAATGGAGTGAATTCCGATCCACACAATTATTCATTTCATTGTGTTATCTGTGTTCCTTGGTATGGCGTTATGTGTGCACATGTTGTGATGAAAAACATACATCATGTAATGTCGGGTGATGTTCAACCTCACGTTAAAAGTAAGAAAAACGAATCGACCAATGGTCATGTGTCCACCATTGTGCGATAGCAGTACGACCAATTAAGACTTAAGAAGGAACTTATTAATCATAGTTGATGCACTCTGGTTAGTCAGACATGAAGATCTACACAATCTTAAATTAAAAGCTGTCAAAGAACCGCCTTCAAACAGTTCTTTACTTACTCTTCACTAGAGGCACTAGAAAAAGTAAATAAACGTATTGATTAATAAGCAGCTGTAGAGACCGATGAAAGCACGCTCCTTTACAGGTTGGGATTTATAAAATCTAGCTCTAAAGCGATCTTCTAGCAACTTAAAAAGATACTCAGAAGCGCAGATAATGCACCCTGTTACGCAACTGCAGTAGAGATATTTAGTGACTGGGGGTTTAGGGACTCTGAGATGGGCTAGTGTTGGTGTATCTATAGAGTGCCATGGACTCTCTTTGCAGGTCGGCTGCGAGTAACATCGGCTCTATTCAGGGCCGTTCCTATCGTGTGAGTTATGAGTGAGAAAGTGAGCTGTTGCTTGTGGCTTGTGATAGCTGCTTTCTCCGTTAGTGATTGTCTGACGAGTTTGACTTTAGCCAGTTCACCGAAAGGGAGAATCAGTGTCGAAGTAAAAGAAATGCCTAGTGAAAAATTTAAGCCACAGGGAGTCACCACAAAAGGAAGCACCTACACAGATTACAGGTTAGATGTTGATGCAAAAATTCGGGGTGATTTGGCATACTGTGCCCTGTAAAAGGAATTGTATCCCAAGTTATTTGCCTATAGCCTATACCACACTGCCAAAGTCCTAAGTCATCAAGGCATTTGATTACTAGGCCTAGTTTTAGTGGTTGTATTTCTTCTACGTTATTATCCCAAATCATGCTTCTTCGCAAAACCTGTAGGTATGATGTTAGTTGGTACCAACCTTCCTGATATGCCAATTCATCCCGGAGAGCCGCATTAGGAATCCTTTTAGAATTAGGAGTTCCTTTCTGCTTCTCTTTCCAAACATCGCCCTAAGGTTTTTGGATTGCTTGTGTTCAGTGGGGGAATTTCATCGTTACCTCGCTGAAAGTATGGATGTACCATAAAAGGTATATACCTATGAGCAGTGTTACAGCCATTTTCCTTGCAAGGACATCTGCTTCTTCATTCCCCTGTACTCCTGCGTGTCCGGGACCACGGATAGTTGTTTTAAGTATCTAACCTGTTTAGTTTTGCATTCCAGCACCATCCTTGAGATAATGATGTTTAAGCTAAGATGAGTGCCCGGCTATCTAACAAGACAACCTTGATTTTGTATTGCCTGTTCAAATTGAATTGATTGTCTTTTTCCAGCAAACTACAGGTGCACTTTTCCATGGGCTGAGAGTATTTACTTTAGGGCCAAAATCTGTGCAAGACGCCTTCATGCGTCCTAGATCCATCCATCTACCAGCTAATAGTTTCTTTATTAACTGTAAATTTTTCCTTCCTCACTTTTTTTTGGTAATTATGTCTGGCAATTTTATTTAGATTCAAATATCCTATTCATATCCTCTCTAGGGTCCATGGATATCGATTATTCTCTCATTAGGATGCACTTTGTATTTTCATTTAAGTTTTAATCCTTTTGAAGATTGTTCTTGGTTGATGTTAATAAGTTTCCTTTGCTGGTTTCCTTGTGATTTGGTGGAGGGGATTCCAAAACTGGTTATCAAGCTTAAGACTTTTGGCATCCAGCTCTGAGGTAAATAGGGGCGCAGCCAATGCATCTTGTGAGGCTAGAAATTAACTATATGCTGAAAATAGTCGAAGCAGGGATAGGGATAAAAGAGGCGGCCACGAGGCCTACTGCACCTCGACCTGAATAGATCTATTGTGCTACTCTGTTCTTTTATAACCCACAGGCCAGCTTCAGGTTATTAACCAGCCTCCACAACTTTGCGTGCGGCTCATTGAAGTAGGATCTTGCTTGTGGTTTTTCTTGTCCTAGTTGAAAGAACCTGCACCGGAAACATGAAACATGTGTTCTGCGGTCTCCTCCTCTTCCTGGCAGTATCTGCACAGTGTTTCTTCTGTCAGTACTGCGTGTCAGGAGCTGTGCTTTCTTAAGTGGCAGTGCCCTGTCAGGAGTCCAACCAGAATCCTGGTTCGGTTGCGGTTGCTTTCCAGTAATTCTGTTGAAAGTTTTGAGGATGGTCCTTCTATGAATCTCTTCGCCTGCCTGATGCCTGTGGTATTGTCCCACCAGGTTTTGGACTCATTAAGGATCTATTTTAAGATGTATCCTCTTTTGTGGCAGGCTGCTAGGCCAAACTAGGGTTCAGGGCTGGCTCCCTTTTTAGCCAACATGACAACCTATTCGTTGCCTCTATGTCCCGAATGTCCAGGGACCTATGCCAGGGACAGGTCATTAGTGTCGCTGATTTCCGTCAGGTCCTCCATGCAGTTCCAAACACTCTTTGCCTTCGCCTCGCATGAGGCTACGGCCCTGAGTGCTGTCTGGCTGTCAGAGAAAATGGCTATCTTCCGGGAATGCATTCCTAGCCTTTTTATTTCTCTGGCATATGATCATATGATTTCAGATTGGAAAACTGTAGCATACTAACATAGGTTTATTGCCAGTCAGTTCATCCCAAAGACACCAGTTCCCACAGTCGAAGCAAACTGACCCATCAATACATCTTCATGGACGAAACAGTAAACTTTTTCTTGTTAGTACAGAGAATGCATTAACATGTTATGTAATACGAACAACCCTCCTGAACTTAGAGAAGGTATTAATAATGATTTACCAGAATGGATGGCTGTCTAATGGGCAGACCTGCTTTGTATTCATAATAACATAATGAGAAACATGAGAAACAAACAAGAAATCAAAATCTCCACATGGAAACAGCCAAGGAGGCAATGTCAATGTCAACACTAAAACTATCTGCTTAACTAACCGACTGAAACTTGCTTACATGACTGGAAGTATGGAGAAAGTGTTAACAATTAACATACAACAAATTTTATTTACATAGTTAATTATACTGTTTTTATGAGAAAACTCTTACTTATTAGCTATGTTAAAAGCTAGAAAGTTACTCCTCAAATAAAAAGATAGAAGATGCACCAAATTATTATTGAATTTTGTACAACATAGACTCGATATTAAAAGTAGTATCGAAAAGAAACAATTGAACATTTCATACTTGATCCCATCTAGCGTTTAAGGTTAAATGATTGATACACGAACCTCAACGCCGATACGGAGATATTATAATGGATTATGAAAATCTTTAATCATATCGGATAAGTTTTCTCATGAGAGTTTAGACGCCGTACGAGATCATAATACGGATTCCACGAAGGGGTCAGCCCTATTACGCAAACCAATATGAAATCTCATCTTACTTCATTTCCCAGTCTAGTTCGGTCATGGGATCACATGTTCTAGGTGAAAGTAACGACCAGTTCAAGTGTTCGTAACGATTATGGACAGAGTAGTAAATATGGAGAAAGATTGCCACTCCTAGCCATAAATTAATGAACGTAGCTGCTTGTCGATTAAGCGTTTTGAACAAAACAGCATCATACACGGTTAAAGCCTGAAGGAATGACTTGGAAATTAAGCTCAAGCTGTTAGAGTAATGTTGACACTCTTGCTCTCTGAGTTATAATTTTCTTTTATTTACCCTTTGAAAAAAGGTCGTTTTGTAAATTTTTCTTGCTGCTACCACTCCACAGGGTTTATGCGTGCTGAACCGAATTGCCGTGAAATTGGTCATAAATAATATAATTGCGAGTGTA